CAGCATGCATTGCCTTCTCCACTGCTGTATTCTTTTCCTTGATCATCATCTTATTTCAAGCAATAAACAGGGTATTTTAAAAGTATCAGCTACTGGGATAAACTTGCAAAACAGATACTTTGGGCTGTACAGTCTCCTGTTTGTGAACAATCATGACCCAACTTCATCGTATGCTACCTGAGATCAGACTATACAGCAATCAGCTGATGTGATGCAATATTACTTAATGTAGTCAGAAACATTCAAATGGAGTGAGAGGCAGAAACATAGCCCAAGACTCAATGAAATGAAGGTAGGTGATGCAGAATGACTACCTTTCTCCACAACGACCCCATTCTGGAAAGCAAACAACCTTCTCTATATAGTCAGTCCTTAGTGTGGTTTCCAAGAACCATTTTGGGAATTCATTTTTGTTTTTTCAAAATTTCTTTATCCATTACCTATTTTCCTTCCTTCTAAGCACAAAGTTATGCTAATACTCTTATGAATAACAGTAGAGCCTCCTACTCTGTGATTATCAGTCACCAAAATTCTCTTAAATCTAAAAGGCAAGGAGCTGTTTATTTTTGGTTTTTTTTTTGCATTATTTGACTTTTAAGCATCATGTATTTGTCTTCAAACCAGCAAGTTGTATATACTGTATTGTTGGCACCTAGCAGCACAGGACATTTCCTATGAGGCGGGTCATGGCTTAACTCACTATTTATTCTACAGGATAAGACATATATGTGGATGTGGCATGTACAGTTTAGTGGTGGATTTGGTAGTGTTGGGTTAATGGTTGGACTCAATGATCTTAAGGGTCTTTTCCAACCTAAATGATTGTGTGAACCAGGAGGTGCATTCATATACTCTCTGCCTTAACCTAGAAGTGTCAGATGACTGGAAGGCAGCCACAGTACATGGTGCATACACACAGTGCTTCAGGGAGAAGCACTTTACCAATGCTATGCTGTTATTCAAGAGGATTTTCACACCAGCAAAACCAATACACTCATAACCAATATACTTAGTTTTCTTGAAGTTCCAAGGTCCTTTGCTGCTATGCTCGAATTATCCTTCCTTTTCTTCTCCTGGAAAGAAGCAACTTTGAAGTCCATTTACTGAAGGTGAGTAGTATGCCAATGACATGTAACACTTTTTTTAAACCCCAAAACACCTTCCAAAATCCTGAAGCTGCAGATGCAGAGAAGTCCCAGTACTGCAGTAGAGCACTCTCTCTCTTTTTTCTGATCCCAACTCTGAGCCTTTTCTACCATCTTTCACAAAATTAAAGTAGGCCACCAAATGCATCAAAATATTATTTTGACACCACTTAGCAGGCACTTGTACCAAAAAACAAAGAAAAGTGAGAGAAAAAGAAAGAACAGGGAACTGTAGGTTTGGGGTGTTTTTTTTCTTTTTTTTTCTTTTTTTTTTTTTTTTAAATGGGAGGCACGTCCCAGGAGTTTTCATTTATTCTCACAAGCAGTCAGCTATTTTGGTCTCCTCCTCTCCCCAAAACCAGGGAGGAATATAAAAAACAGCAGAGAACACCAAGGCTGATGACAGTGTTGAAGGAGTGGATGTTAAATTTTAGCCCCAAAAGGTAAAGTGAACAGAAGGGGGCAGGCTGGTAAAGAAGAGGTAAAAATAGAAGAGTGACTAGACTTCACTTGACCGCTATTTCTGGATCAACTATGGAAAGAGATACGAGAAGGTTTTCTGTTTGTAAGGGCGAGACAGACCAAAACAGAGTTGCCTTCTAGAAGGCTACAGTCCTGCACAGCAGCTTTGTTTATGCTTCTACTTTTCTAAATTGCTGTGTTCGCACTATTTGGAAACAGTGCCATTCAAGTGTCATTATGTGTCTAAGTAAGTAACCAGATTAGATTTTCTGGAGCCGGCCAGCAATGCGTGTGGCATTTCAATCCAACCGAAATCGAGCTGACAGAACATTCTAAAAGTGTGTAGCAAATCACAATGCCAAGCAGAGTAAACTAAGCCACATAATACTTTAGGAAAAGGACCAGAGCCCTGCAGGATCTCCAAGAGGTTGTCTTGTGTTTTCCCACTCTAAAGTGATTAGTGAAATTCTAACTACTTCCAGTTATGGATACAGGCTGAAGAGAAGACAATAGGGACCTCCCAATTACAGTATGTAGTGCTTGACTGACACATGGCTCTGGGAATGAATGTTTCTGCCTGTCCGAGCCCTTTCCTCTTGAGTATCTCAGTTAAAATTCCTTCCATTGAGTACTTTCTATCCAGATCCTGGCTGTGCTGGCTTTGTTCCCACATAAAAGAAAACCTGCGGGCAGAAAGCAGTGCCATCTGCCAAGTCAGAAGCTGTTTTGATGGGCAAGCTTGGTGTGAAGGGGAACAGGCTATCATGCTTTATCTTCAGCAGCAGGAGTGATGTTTTTCCTTTCCCAGGAGGAGGTTACAGCAAGCATACTCACGCCTGAAGCATTTGTCCACAAACATACATAGATCTCAACGGATATTGCACAAGCAACCTCCAGAAAAAAAAAAAAAAATCCAGCCAGCATCCCTTTTTTCCTGTTCAACTTGCAATTTAATCTTTATATTTCTCTTTACCAGTTGCTTGCGTGTTTTTTTTTTTTCTCCTTATTTACCCCACCCCCCACCCCATGACAGCTTCATCAGCCTCCACTTTCTGTTCCTGTAAGTGAATAACTGTCATCACACCTAGGAAGTATAAACAGTGGCAAGGCAGAGGCACCAAGTCCCCATTATCCCTACACAGAGAACTCTGCACTGAAAAGCTGTATCTGAACATTTCTACCCAAGTTTCCTGTCCCTTTTCCATAACTGTTTTGACTGGATAGTTTGCTCTGAAGTTTTATTTGGAGCAGGTCTGGGACTTGTGTAGCCCAGTTCAGGTTTCACAAAAAACAATGGAAAAAAAAAATTTCTCTGAATATTTTCATCCTTGTAAATATCTTTAGGGCTAGGAAAAGATCTTTCTATTCTTGCCAATTAAGCACAGTTTTGATCCTTCCTTGTTGGGTAATCTTCTCATTAGACCATCTTTAGAGAGTATAGCGGATTCTCTCTGGGCTGCTGGCAGTTTTACTTAATTGCATATTTAACTATTTATTCAGCACTTAAACTCATAATGATGAGAAATACATACACACAAGCAGCAAACTATTATCTGCCACTTAAACTCCCTAGAGAACTCATATACATCTTAATATTTTTGTCCCTTTCAGCATAAAAGCATACACATTCCACCGCCGGGGGAGGACGACAAACACACACAGAAGTCATTTTGGTGATACAATAGCCATGACTGACAAAACTTTAGGAAGTGGGTGTGGGGGCGGGGTGCTTTGGTCCTTAATATATTTTCAAAGTTCTGAAAAAAATCAGCCAACTTGATCAGTGCTAAACAGAAATTAGTATCTACTATAGGTTCCTCCTTCCCACAAGGCAAAGGGCATTATATCAGGGCACAGCAACTTTCCTTCTCCATCTCCCCAACTCTGAGTGATGAATTAAAAAAATATTTTACAGATTCTAAGATCCATAGGAATTTATTTTCTATTTGATTTCAGAGCTACAGAATTTGCTCTGGAACACTTGTTGTCACTGGACTGTGCTCTGGAACAACAGTGTCTATTTTAAAATGCTTCCAGACATTATAACTGCAAAATCTTTGAAGTATGAATGGTCTATGATCAGCAACAAAGCCACTGGACTCTTCAAAAACAGCAGAGCAGCTTCAGTATTAACAATTACCCTTCCTCAAAGTATGCTAAGTATAGAAATTAACACTGATAGCACTTCAGAAGGGTCTGATGAATGGATCACCTGAGTTGCAGAAACCTGACACTCCCCCATGCAGGTGCATAACCCCAGTACTTCTAGTCTGTTTGCCAAAACCTCATTTCCCCATGATAAACTTCTGTGCGTCAGCTACATAAAACTAACACAAAATACTGTGATAAAGAAGATGAGAGTGTCATAAACAGGTGAATTAATCAGCACATTGTTGTACTATAAGCTTTTCTAGTTCCTCTGTTAAAAATCTTTGCAATGCACAAAGCTACCAGTCTGCTCCGTGAAGGCAGAAAGGCCTTGCCTGGGATGGCAGTTTCATGTGCGTAGAGGCAAGACCATATCCAGACGTTGGCAGACCACTAGCAGATCTGTCCTGGAGTGTGACGTTTAAGAAAAGGAAGGGTACCTGAAATCCTTCTAGACATCTCAACTAGTCTAACACCAACAAGGACTCAGTAACATTCCTAAGTAATTCTCCCAATAATTACTTCAGCTGGTTATCAGTCTTACCACACAGAACCATTTGGTTCTCATTTGGGCTGTTTTTTTTCTAATGATGTACTTTAAAAGCAGCAGGGAAATCTTCAGGTTTCAAAGCTGTCGAGCAAAATGCGGGTAAGCTTTATGTCCTCTAAGGAATGGTTATTACTCCATTTTTTTTAAGTAGCACTTATCATCATAAATACCTACTAAACTTACTTGCCATATAGGTGTAATCAATGCTTTCCCAGATAATACTCTTTGTAAATGGATCATAAATAAAAAGTAAATAAATAGGTGAGTAAACAACTAGAAATACCCTTGAGAAAAGTCCTCAAAAGGGAGGGAACCCTAAAGACCGATGAACATTTAAATACTTCCCAGTTTAGGCCTATTTCACTGCACAGGTTCCAAAACAATTTCCAAATATTGCATACTACAATTACTCAAGATCTAGCAAGTTCTCTCCCCTGCTTTTTTGTCTTTTAAATATGAATATATGGATTTCACAGCTGGTAACTTCCTTCTCAAAACTCACACAGAATATTCTGGAATAGACTCAAGTTTGGACTACAATGTTGTAAGTAAGAGTAAACATTTCTACATATTTAAATCCTTCACACAGCACTCTGTGAAATGTAAGCAGCAGAAGAAGTAGTTTTTATGGGACTCTGGGAGTGAACTCTGGCCTCCAAACCACCAATAAAGAAAAAAAGAAAAAGCCTACATACCTTCAAAGCACATTTCTGGCCTGTCTCCTTGTTGAAACACTCCAGTACTTTGCCATTGATTCCCAGCCCTAGCACCCGTTTGGAGAGTTTGTAGTCATCTGTAACTGCATGTTTTTTTATCTCTAGCTTGACATGGGCCTCTCCCCCAGGCAAAGATTTCACGCTGCTCTTGCTATCCACGTGATTCTCTGGCTGGGATTCCTGTTCACCTTCACTTTGTTCCATATCAGGAAAGAGTCTGAGATGACAGAGATAGCAACAGATTCCCTGTGTAGTATCCTCAGCTGAGAACCTTCTTAGGCGATCAAACCCAGTGTTTCAAACAGTCCATTTACTTGCCATTTAGTCCTGAGTAAAAATGTAAACGAGCATTAGTAACCCATGTTAATTACCCGCTGTCTCACCTAACTACTTTTCTGTCTTCTTTTCTTAACAAGGTGACCAGGAGCTAAAGAGACCTAAAGTGGAGGTTCACCTTAGGAAAGCACACTTTTTTGTTTTTAGCTTTACAGACCTGTTACCCCTGCCCCCCGCTCCCCGTTCCAGTACACACAGCTCAGTCTCTAGTTATAAATTGCTGCTTTCACTGCAACAAGTGCCTGTGCTGAGTCTCGGAGTAAAGTTGCAGCCAGCTAAGCTCTATACCACAGGACAGAGACAGCTGCTGCTTCAAGGAGGTTATAAACCTGCATCAACAACTTGTTGCCTCAGTGCTTTATGTAGAAAACTCCACAATGGTTCCCTGCCTTATGGGAACATCCCAAGTTATGTGAAAGAAGCATGAATACCTGGATTAAACCCCATCGGACCCCACATTGGGCCAGTGCTTCCCAAACTGCCCCGGTCCACAGAGCGAGGGGTGGGTGCGGCATTACTGAGGGGACCATCAGACCACCCCGAAACTTGGGTACATCCCAAAGCTGCCTGAGCGCACTGGGGCCCGGAGAGACTCCCAGGAGCACAGCCCCCGGGGGAGGTACCGGTGCCAGCGCCTCCGAGCGCGGTTAACGCGGCCGAGCCCCGTGCAGGCGAAGCGCCGCGGGGC